CTCCCTCACGGACAGGTGGTGCTGGTACCCGCTGAAGATCAGCCGGTGGTTCACCGAGTCTCCCACCAGGTGGATGCTGGCGCCCATCACGAAGGTGATGATGCTGAGGTAGACCACGGACCTGGGCAGGGTCTTGGGGGACCTCTCGATGAGCTGCAGGCACGGGGAGAGGACGAGAGGAGGAGGAGGAGCAGCAGGGATGTGGCAGCTCCTGCCCGTGCTCGTTTTGGGATTTTTATTTTTTTTTTTTTTTTTGCCAGAGCGTTCAGAAATTCATCACCAAAAATCCCAAAATATCTTGAGTTGGAATCTGGATTAAAAAAATCATCACGTCCATCTCCTCCTGTGAGGATTTTGTGGTTTTAGCACCAGGAGCTGACACTGAGGCTGTGATTGCTTCCTGCAGGTCCTCCTGAACATTTTGGGGTGCTGTTCCCTATTTTCCCCATGGAATCAGACTCAGCTCCCCAGAGAGCTTCAGGATCCTCCAGGTGAACATTTTGGGGTCCTGTTCCCTATTTTTCCCATGGATCAGGACTCAGCTCCACAGAGAGCTTCAGGACATTTCAGGATCCTCCACATGAACATTTTGGGGTTCTGCTCCCTTTTTTCCCCATGGAACAGGACTCAGCTCCAGAAAGAGCTTCAGGATCCCCCAGGTGAATGTTTTGGGGTTCTGTTCCCTTTTTTCCCCACTGCAATGGGACTCAGCTCTGAAGAGAACTTCAGGATCCTCCACATGAACTTTTTGGGGTCCTGCTCCCTTTTTTCCCCCATGGAACAGGACTCAACTCTGAAGAGAGCTTCAGGACACTTCAGGATCCCCCAAGTGAAGATTTTGGGGTCCTGCTCCCTTTTTTCCCCACTGCAATGGGACTCAGTTCTGAAGAGAGCTTCAGGATCCTCCACATGAACATTTCGGGGTCCTGCTCCCTTTTTCCCCCATGGAACAGGACTCAGCTCTGAAGAGAACTTCAGAACACTTCAGGATCCCCCAAGTGAACACTTTGGGGTTCTGTTCCCTTTTTTCCCACTGCAATGGGACTCAGCTCCACAGAGAGCTTCAGGATCCTCCAGGTGAACATTTTGGGGTGCTGCTCCCTATTTTCCCCATGGATCAGGACTCAGCTCCACAGAGAGCTTCAGGATCCTCCAGGTGAACATTTTGGGGTCCTGCTCCTTTTTATTTTCCCCATGGATCAGGACTCAGCTCCAGAAAGAGCTTCAGGATCCCCCAGGTGAACATTTTGGGGTGCTGCTCCCTATTTTCCCCACAGTTGGACCCCGCAGCCAGGAGGAGCCGAGTGCCACAAACCCCTCGGGGTGATTTTTGGGCACCTCTTTCAGTGCTGGGCTCTCTCCCTGCCCCATGCCAAGCACCTGGGGCTGGCTCCGGGCCTGGGCCAAGCCTTGGGACAGCAGCAGGAATTTTGGGATGCAGCTCCACACTCAGCCTGCAAAGCAGGGAGAGCTCCCGGGGCAGATCCCAGCTCCAGGAGTTTTCCAGCTTTGGCTGGCTCAGCTTCTGGGATCTGCCAGGGCACCCTCCTCTCCCTGAATCAGCTTTGCAGCCCTCCCTGAGCAGGGGAAAAAAAAAAAGCTCCTTATTTGTGTTTCATTTTGAACTTATTTGGGTTTAATTTGGAGGCTTAACTTTCCCTTCCCCCGGAGCTGCCCACGGATGTCACGGGAGGACAAGGAGAGGGGACAGGGCTGGGACACGTCCCTGGGCCAGGGAAATGCAGCCTGGATTTTCCTGAGGCTCAGCCCTGCAGAAATCACCTGGGAAAGGTCAGCTCCCACATCCTGGGCATTCCCTTCTCGCCCCCAGCCTTGAAATCCTCCCGGAATATCCAGAGGGAATCGTTTCCACCTCAGGCCACAACTGAACTGCCAGCTAACGAAGGTTAAAATAGATTTATAATTGCTTTCTCCTCAAGTGTTTAATGGGAGAAGATTCCTAATGGTCTGACACCTCATGAGTGGTTTATGGGATGCAGAGGTTGGCAGCTGGAGCCGGATAAATCCCAGCTCCAGCCACAATTCCAGTGTCAAAGGGCAAGTGTCACGAAGCTCTGAACAATTTAGAAAATCCACTCAAATTCCAGCTGCCTTTTAAGCCCAGGGTGGGTGTTGTCCTAAAAATATCATTTGGGAAAAGGGCTCTGACTCCTCCCGGAGCCAGAATTCCAGGGGGAAGTGATTTGCTTTGGATATGCAGGAAATTGAGGTGCTCTTTAAAAGGTGGAATCACAAATCCTTCCTGGAGTGGGGAACTCTGGCTGGAAGGAATTTGGGAACAACCAAGATCCTAAAAACCTCTGAGCCTTTGCAAAACCTGGAATGGAAAAGCCCTGAACATTCCCAGCTTTAAATTCAGCTCTGACTCCTCCTGGAGCCGGAATTCCAGGGGGATTTGCTCTGGACATGCAGGAAATTGAGGCGCTCTTTAAAAGGTGCCATCAGAAATCCTCCTTGCTGACAGGGATTTGGGAATAACCAACACCCTCAAAACCTCTGAAACATCACAAAATCGGGAATGGGAACCCCCTGGACATTCCCAGCTTTACCTTCAGCAGCAGGAAGGGGGTGATGACGTTGTAAGCCATGTGGAAATAATCCCCAGCGCTGGGTTTGTTGAGAGGAAACCATTCCAGGGGGAAGATGATCTGAGGAGAGAGGGCAGAGCAGCACGTCAGCGGCCACGGGAGAGGGAAAATGTTGGGATTGCTCGGGAATGCTCAGCTGGGCTTCAGGGGGTTGGGAAGGGACCAAGCTGGGCAGCTCATCGTGGAGCAAACTTCCCGAAAATCACCCTCTGGAAGTTTTCACTCCCAGCCCAAGCTGTGGGGGTCAAGGAAGGCATTTGGGATTCCTGGATCTTCCTGAACCCTCTGCCAGCTTCCAGCTGGGAAAAAAATTCCATTGAAATGGAATGGAAGCAGCAGCCCCAAGCTCTGGGATGCAGGCAAGGAACGGGGAAGAGCAGGAGGAGCCTCCCAGGTGTGAAAACAAAGGTGTGGGAGAGAGAAGGGGAACAGTTTTCCCAGAGCCTGGAGCGGGCTTGGCCCCAGTGCCAGCTCCTCCAGGACACCCCCTGGTGCAGGGGACAGCCCCCGGCCCTGTCCCCTCGCTCACCATGGCGATGGGGCGCCCGAAATCCAGCACCCAGTTCTGCAGGGTGAAGGAGAACCACAGGTCCAGGTGGAACGGGGACGTCTTGGAGGTGTCCTCGGCCTTGCCCACCCCGTGCCTGGAGGGGACAGAGGGACACGGAGCCCTGGAGCAGCTCTGGGAGGAGGCAGAGCCCTCACCCCACGCCAAAGCTGCTCTCGCCCGGCTCTGGGAAGCCAAAGCTGAGGAGCAGCAGGGACAGGAGAGCACCAAGCTGTCACCAGCCCTGCGGGGAGGCTCCTCTGGTCTCTTAGCAAGGTGAAAAGTGCTGAATTCAGCGCAATTATTTTAAATTTTTGCACGACGGAGCAAAACCCCAGCTCCCAGGAGTTGGGCCGAGGACTAAAAGCTGGAGTCCCAGCAGCGGGATGCTCGGGATGCAGCAGCGTCACCTGCAGCTCCTGCTCCCGGCTCCCTCTGCCTCCTGCCAGGATCCAAGCCCGGCGGAGCCTTTCCATGGAATGCCCCGCAGCACCTCTGGATCTTCACCTCCCCGCAGGAGAAGCGGCTCGGCGCCTCTCCTGGTGCCAAAAGCAGAACGGGATCAGCCGCAGCAGCCCGGGGCTGCCCAAGGCCCACGGAGTGACCCTGCCCAGGATCTTTAAGGTCTTTTCCACCCCAAACCACTCTGGGATGGTTCAACGCACCCCGAGAGCCGGAGGCTGAGGATGGGGTACCCTGGGTGAGCCGGGAATGCTGCGGCTCCCTGGAAGAGTCTGCCAAACCCTGGATCGGCTGGGATAACCCAGGTACGCCGGGATGACCCGGACACAGCCCAGTGGGGAACCTTGGGGGACCCCGACCCTGGAAATGCCCCAGACCCTGACCTGGGGATGGTCTGGACCCCAACCCTGGGGATGGTCTGGACCCTGACCTGGGGATGGTCTGGATCCCAACCCTGGGGATGGTCTGGACCCTGACCTGGGGATGGTCTGGACCCTGACCTGGGGATGGTCTGGATCCCAACCCTGGGGATGTCCCAGATACAACCCTGGGGTGTTCTGGACCCCAAACCTGGGGATATCCCGGATCCTGACCCTGGGGATGTCCCAGATACAACCCTGGGGTGTTCTGATCCCCAACCCTGGGGATGGTCTGGATCCCAACCCTGGGGATGGTCTGGATCCTGACCTGGGGATGGTCTGGACCCAACCCTGGGGATGGTCTGGACCCTGACCTGGGGATGTCCTGGATCCTGACCTGGGGATATCCTGGATCCCAACCCTGGGGATGTCCCAGATACAACCCTGGGGTGTTCTGATCCCCAACCCTGGGGATGGTCTGGACCCTGACCTGGGGATGGTCTGGACCCTGACCTGGGGATGTTCTGGATCCCAACACTGGGGATGTCCCAGACCCAACCCTGGGGTGTTCTGGACCCCAATGCTGGGGATGTCCTGGATCCCAACCCTGGGGATATTCTGGACCCTGACCTGGGGATATCCCGGATCCAAACGCTGGGGATGTCACAGATCCCAACCCTGGGGATGTTCTGGACCCTGACCTGGGGATGTCCTGGATCCCAACCCTGGGATGTTCTGGACCCTGACCTGGGGATGTCCTGGATCCCAACCCTGGGATGTTCTGGATCCCGACCCCGGGGCTGTCCTGGATCCCAAGCCTGGGGATGTTTTGGACCTGACCCTAGGGATATCCCGGATCCTGACCATGGGGATGTCCCAGACCCGACCCTGGGGTGTCTGGACTCCAACCCTAGGGATGTTTTGGACCCAAACCTGGGGTTATCCCGGATCCTGACCCTGGGGATGTTCTGGACCCTGACCTGGGGATATCCCGGATCCCAACCCTGGGGACGTTTTGGACCCCAACCCTGGGGATGTTCTGGACTCCAACCCTGGGGATGTTTTGGATCCCGACCCTGGGGATGTTCTGGACCCCAAACCTGGGGATATCCCGGACCCCAAACCTGGGGATATCCCGGACCCCAAACCTGGGGATATCCCGGATCCTGACCCTGGGGTGTTCTGGACCCCGACCCTGGGGATATCCCAGATCCTGACCCCGGGGATGTCCCGGATCCCAACCCTGGGATGTCCCGGATCCCGACCCCGGCCCGTCCCGGACCCGACCCCGGCCCGTCCCGCACTCGCAGCATCCGGGGCGGTCCCGGGAAGGGGCCGGGCCGTCCCGGGGGGCGCAGGCCAGGCTGTGCCGGGGGGTTGGATGGGCTGAGGCTCCCCAGAGATCCCGGGATGGATTTCCCCGTTCCCGAGCCCCGCCGCGCTCACCTGCCCGGGGGGAGCGGCCCGGCGGGCGG